GAAAGAGGAGCAAAGATTGTTGAAAACCATAAAAATCTAATGGAGCTTATGATCATTAGACAAGATCTATTTGTGTGTATCCATCACATATGCGGCAGTTAGAAAACACACAAGCCATACACTTGCATGCACAAACACATTTTCACACACACAAACACCAGCACATATACACAAATAATATTAAACTGTTTTTTAAAGTAAATTTAACAAATTAGAAATGTATAGGCACTAGTAGTAGAGCACCTGAATTTATAAAATATTACACCTACTACAAGAGATAGCTCTAAAACAATAGGGCTTAATACCAGAATCTTCCTAATAGAAAGACTATCTAACAATAAAAAAAAAACACGAGAGTTAAGATATGTAGTAGATAAATGGGCTTTACATATATTTACAGATCAGTCTATACAACATTTACAAAACACACTTTTATTTTCCTATCAGTGCATGGTTATTTCCCTAGAAGAGACTATATATTAAGGTAGGAAATTAGTCTTAACAAATGAAAAACGATTATTTCCAGTATCTTCTCAGGTAGTGACGGGATTGTGGAATACACAGAGATGGGAAAGCTAGAAACCAACACTTCAGTAATTATCTAAGTTAAAAAGAACCCAACAGCCTGTAACTCCAGCACCAGCGGATCTGAAGCCCATTTGTGGCCTCCACAAGCTGACACACTTGCATGGCACACAGACACTTCCATGAAAACTAAACAATACACTGTTAAACAAACAGGTAACTGAGAAAGTCAATTAAAGAAAAAAGAAAATTAAAGCATAGTGGAATTTAAAAACAGGTGAAAATGGAACCAAAAGACACCAAAACCTAAGGGACACAGGAAAAGCAGTACAAGCAAAGAGAAGCATATGGCAACAAAAGCCTGCACCAAAAACAGGGTTAAAAAACCTGAAAAGTTGCACCCCAAGGTCTTGCAGAAGAAAAACCCAACTTCAGGTCCCAGCACCCACATCAAGCAGTGCACAGTTGCCTGTAACTCTGACTCCAAGGGATTTGTACTGGCTGGTTTTGTGTGTCAACCTGGCACAAGCTAGAGTCATCAGAGGAAGGAGCCTCAGCTGAGGAAATGCCTCCATGAGATCCGGCTGTAAGGCATTTTCTCATTTAGAAACCAATGGGGAAGGGCCCAGCCCATGGTGGGTGGTTCCATCCCTGGGTGGCTGGTCCTGGGTTCCATAGAAGGTGGGCTGAGCAAGCCATGGGAAGCATGTCAGTAAGCAGCTCCCCTCCATGACCTCCATATCCGCTCCCACCTCCGGGATCCTGACTTGTTTGAGTTCCTGTCCTGACTTCCTACAGTGATGAACTGAACAGCAATGCTGAAGTGTAAGTTAAATAAACCCTCTCCACTCCACCTTGGTTTCTGGTCATGGTCCTTTGTCACAGCAACAGAAACCCTAACTGGGACAGGATTCAAAGTCTTCTGGCTTCCACGGGCACTACACTCATATGGACATACCTCTACAGAGATCAAACATACGCTCATAATTACCAACAAAATCTTACGGAAAAAGAACTTGATGAGATACCACCTCACGCCAGTCTGCATGACTACTGTCAAAAACAAAGAAAAAGACAATAAATGTTCCTGAAAACTACACTGTGATCCCATTCCTAAAGAAATGAAGTCAGCGCACAGAAGAGACCAAGAGACATCTGCCCGGGTCCATTTCAGCTGCTGTCTGTCTGTGCCCTGCCACTCCCTCCCCAAGTCTCACTGTGAGCAGGGAAACAATCAAGAGCACAAAGCTTCAGGGCTGGCTACATAGAAATTCCATTGCAAAGTAGTAAACCACTGTGACCTTTACAATAAGAATGAATTCTATTGGCTGATAAACAGAGATCAGAGCTAGGGCCTAAAGCAGCAGACAGTTCTCAACCTGTGGGTCGTAATCCCTTTGCAGGATGGCATATTAGATATCCAGCATATTAGATATTTACATTATAATTTATGACAGAAAAATTCTGGTAATAAATTAGCAACAAAATAATTTTGTTTGGGGGTCACCACAACATAAAGAACTGTATTAAAGGGTCACAGCATTAGGAACGCTGAGAACGAGTAGGCTGGAGGAATCATCAGTGATAAGCATAGGATAGATCCTATGGGTGGAGAATGCAAAGTACATAGTGTCTTTTCAAAGGAATCTGTTCTCTTCACTGAGAGACAAAACTCATGATACTGGGGGACACAGGGCGAGGCTAGCTAACATTGGAATAGCAAAGGATCACTAGGCTGATTGAAAACATCATTCGGGCTTTCCAGGTGACTAAGCATCATTATTCCTTCCACTGAGGAAAAGAGGTCTGTGTGATTGACAATCATGGTTTCCCTGATGCTTCTAAGTTGTGTTTCCTATATCTGCTAGCCTAGGTTTGCTGCGAGGTCACTTCTCACACCAGCTAAGATATAGAAGCAGCCTAGGTGCCCATCACTAGATGAGTGTGTCACACACAATGGACCATAAAGAATAAAAGTCTGTCATGGAATTGTAGCACATCACATCCTGGAAAATAAGCCACATAGAGAAAAATAGTGATTGTATGTTCGTGTAATATGTAGAAACAAACATACATAAAGTACCCTGAGAGCAAGCAGGAATACCTCAGAACAGGAAAGGAAGTAGAAAGCTAGACAGAACATGATGATAAGAGGAAGGAATAGACATGATCCATACATAATTATGTATGTATGGAAATGGCTTGGTGAATTCCAGGAATGTGTACAATTAGTATTTGTTAATAAGTGATGCAAGCAATAGTAATGAAAGATAGTCTATTGTATTTTTTTCACAATAATGATGAGTTGTTTTGACCTGCTGAAACAGAGTCTCGTAGATCCCAGGCTAGCCTCAAATTCACTATAAAGCAAAGGACAACCCTGGCTCCTGGTTTTCCTCCCTCTCCAAGCCCAGGGATTGTAGGTATGCACTACCACACCTGCCTCACGGCATTGTTTTTTCAGTCTGAGCCCAAGAAGCCCCAGGATTAAGAACACCCAACTTTGGCTGACTACAGGAATCACGTAACCAGATGTTCCTGGGCACCCCCAAAACTGACTCAGCAGGTGAGAGGAGAACAGAAACTTATATTTGCTTTTAATGCAAAAAGCAAAGATTCCAAGGAATCTTCAGTGCCCCCAGGGTACAACTGCTTTATTTGCCACAAGCACAGGATTGGGTGGAAGTTTGGAAACCTCAACCCTTCACCAGTTCCACCCTGCTCCCCAGTGAATACCAATCCAAGATTTGCAGGATGCTGCCTCTTGGCATTCTGAATTCATGCACTAATGGGGAATTTTCCTTGGAGATGTGTAGGTGCACTCTGGGCCAACACTGAGCTGAGAGCTGCTTTTGCGTATCAGGACTCTCTCAGAGCAGGTGAGTTGGTTTTAAAAGTGGATGATTTGAAAACTAAAATATCCCCCAAATCTTAACATCGCATTAGAAATGAAAAGCCGGGCCCTCATACTTCTCCATCCTGTGAGTCTGTTTTATCTCTAGCCAGACGGAGAATGAGAAGGTTCTCATCCATCAAATTTCAACCTTATCAGGTTTTGCTGTGAGCAAGCTTGTCAAAGTGCTTACTTTTAAATATACAAAGGCAATTTCTTCAAAATCCTAATGAGGTATGGGCATTTAGTGACACAAGGACATTTCCAGAACCAGCATGAGATGTGGTTGTAGCCTGGGCAGCACAGAGTTTCACTGAGCACTGTGCAAGCAGTCAAGGGAGGAGAGCGGTGTGGTGTTGGGCCTCCTACTCCACAGCACTTTATGAAGCTGCACTTCATGTACTCTTTCTGCAGGAGTTCATTTGAACAACAATGCAATGTGAACAATAAAAGACAGAGGGAGGAAGGTTGCAGAGATGGCTCAGTGGCTAAGAACTCTTACTGGTTTTCCAGAGGACCTGAGTTCAGTTCCTAGCACTGACATCAAGCGGCTGCCAGCCACCTGTAAGTCCAATTCCAGGAGATCCAACACCCTCTTCTGATCTCTATGGATACCCACATGCCTGGCATTTACACATATGTATAATATAAAAATAACAGGGACTGAAGAGATGGCATAGTAATTAAGAGTGTCTGGTCTTCCACAGGACCCACGTTCAAATCCCAGCACCCAAAGAACAGTTTGTACCTGTCTAGAACTTCAGTTCAAGGAAATCCAATACCCTCTTCTGGCCTCTGCAGACACAAAGCATGCCATGGTACACATGTAGGCAAAACACCCATACACATTAAAAAAAAAAAAAGAATAAAAAAATATTGAAAAAAAAATCAATAGAAGCCGCTGAAAGGAGACAGTCCTGTACAGATGGCACACATGAAATTTAGCACATGGGAACTGAACACAGGTAGGTCAGATATTCTTGGTCACTTTTGTCTACACAGTGAGATCAAGGTGAACTGTGGCTACATAAGACACTGTCTTAAAAAAATAATTAAAAAGAAAAAAAAAACACCTCTCTGGAGAATGGACAAAGAAGCAGGGCTTACACTGAGAAGGTATTAAGGCATGACTGCGATAGCACAGACATGCTACACCTCTCTAACCACACCTAGGGGGTACACGGGAACAAACTTGCTCCTCTTCAGCCCCACTCAGACTTCCCAGGTACCAGGTTCATTGCCACCTCCACCCTGGAGCAGATATCTTCTCTTTCCTCTATCAGGAATGCATCTCTATCTCTCCCACCCCAGTAGCAGGAGCTCTGATTTCCTCTGTGAAGCCTCCCCTCTTCCTGCAGCTCCAGCAGCACAGAGGCCCCAGCTCCTTTGGGAGATCTGGTCTACCCCGCTATCAGCACTGAGTGTACTGCACTGTACTCAGTTCTATCCGCACCTCCATCGCAGCTCTCCAAGGAAGCCGTCAGAGAGTGTCTGACTTGACTCTGCCCAGAACAGAGCCTAGTACAGTGATGAAATAAGTAATGGTGACAAAGTCTCCTTGTTGGTGGCCATGGAGACCACAGCTATTCCACCAGGAAACAAAAAGGTCAGCATTTTAAAGCAGCCTTTACAGTAGCCTTGGGCAAGAGCTACTAGCATGTCCAAGCCCCCATACCCAAGGGCCTTCTGTCCCCTTTCTCTAAGGGGTCAGTCAGCTGGAAAGGAAAAGACAAGCATGCTCCTC